TGGGAGCTTTGTGGTCCTCGGCGTCGGAGGGAAGTGGAATGGCCGAATGTCAGTATCGAACGCCGTGACCGATCACCGAAACGTGGTTCAGAGACACGCAATACGATGTGGTTCCCGCGCATTTGCATTTCCCTTACTCATCCTGCGCCCATGACGGTGTGCTCCTGATCTGATAAATCCGAGCCAACGGATCGGCCGGCGTGTTGCGCTGACGGGGCGCCGACAGAGCCGTGAACCGGTTTGATCTGGATTTCGGTGTGGCTTGCGTTCGTTCGAGAAGGTGGCCTGTTTGTTTGACAGGCGAAACAGGGCAGAGGAGGAGAACCGGCCGATAAAGAAGAGGACGAATCTAGTGGCGCACGGCTTGAGAGGCTAATGCAGGTAAACGAGGCTAGCCCAGAATAACTGGAGCTCGAACAGGGATGGAAGACGAAACACGACTAGGATGACGAATCAGCTCATGGCACGGGCTGTGGCTTGAAGAATGGCAGATGATAAAGGCTGCACTCCGGGTAGGGTACCTCCCACCGAGCCACGATCATGATATGAATATCGGTGGTCGATTCGGGCTCGAGATGGACAGCACGTGTCTGCCGTGCGTCGACTTGCTCGATTCTGACCTCACAAATCTGGGGAACTTTCCTGATCTGATCGTGGGGCATCAGATCACTGAAGAATCGGGATACGTGGCGTGTTGTACCTTATCTCTGGGCATAACTGAGGAGAATGCCCGGAAACTCGAGGTCTTCCCACGTTGTGCGCTGGATTGGCCTTGAATAGCGCCTCGTTCTGGTAAGGATGCACTCCTGGTGTGCGGAATGAGAGAACCGACCGTTGCTCGAGATACGCGATATGCTTTGCGTGATGTGATAGCACATTGTGCTTGTGCTTGTACAGGAAGGATCTCCATGCAGATTAAAGATGGATGGTGGTACTCGGGTGGGGCACTTGATGTGAGAGAGTTCGTGCTTTTGCCTGACCGTTGGAACAACTGCCTCGCTGGCTGGTCGGCAGGAACTTTCCAGCCAGAGGAGCTAGAGAAGACGACCGTGGACAGAGTCAAATCTCTAGATCGATGAATGCTGCCTCAAGGGACCAGGCTGGACCCTGAATCAGGGACTTTGTGCATTGAGCTCAGGTTTTTTCTTGCGCGATCCTGCATGGAATCGGGATCGAGACGAGGCACAAGAAGAGCTGTAACACCCAACATTTGTAACAGCAATTCAAAAACGATAAAGAATGTCGTCTCGCCTATCCAATCTCGAGCCCGGCCCTGTCAGAAACCCCACCAGATTTGGGTGCGGCTTGCCAACAGGGGCGGTTAGGTTGATGGTTGGGGATGTTCTCTTTGATGGCTGCGGCTGGTGGTGCAGTTGGGGAAAATTTTGCAGCTTATCTCTGAGTCTACGGATTTCGCCTCCTGGGCCCCACTATCAGATTTCTTGGTGTTGGGCTAAGTAGCCGCCCCGACAGCGCTTTGGCGATGGTGGGACACCAGGGGGCCTCCACAGTGCAACACCAAGCACCGATGGCGGGCACCGTTTCGCTTGAAGCTCCTTTCTTGGGGCCGGGATCTCTGCTTTTAGGGTTTTGGACGTGACCACGGCTGTGATATCGGCCGCGTAGTTTTGCTCGCTAATCTTGACGCCGTTGAACGGAGCCTGTCCGTTTGCTGACAGAGTCGCATATGCAACCTCGATGGTGGTGGTGGCTGTAGCTCTTTTGACAGGCTGTGGGGGAACAGCAAATGAGAGAGAGCACCGGTTGCGGACCGTTTTGCTTTTGTTTAATCCAAATTGTTGGAGAGAAAACGCGCAGGGGCTAAGGATTGGCTGGAGCTGAGTGGCCTGGAACAAGCGAGCATTTCACCGCCGACGTCATCCTCTGTGCGTCTCGTCGAATTGGCGAGCGAGACCGGGGGTCAGCATTCCACACAGCGCTAGAGGAGCAACGCGACGCAATTTTGCGATGCGAGCGCACCAGGCAGGAGAGCAGAAGATGGCAAGTTTCTGGAGGCAATTTTGATTGATGCTCGTTGATAACATGATATGGGGGTTTGCCTCTATCAATTGGCAATGCCAGACGGAATCCACCCCATGGAGCATGGGTGGACGGTGGATGGAGACTGAAGAGCTCCCCGGGCTGTGGGTATCAGGTAACTAGCTCTCCAGTCTGCATGCATATCTTCCCTGTAAGTAATACATCGTAAATGGAGGTGCATATTCGTACGTACGGAGTAGTTACCTGTACGGTGGAGGGCAAAGTGAACAGTCTTAAGCCTGTTTCCCCCACGGCGGAAACGGAGATGCGGCAAGTACCTTGGCCACACCAAAATTAATTTTACGGAATGGGCACCAAACAATGTACCGTACCTGAGCACCCAGCGCTCGAGCGAGGGAACTAAGCAGGGCTTAAGCGGTCGCACCTGACTCTCTCTAAGCCGGATCGACGTTAGCTCATTTGTGCCCGCGATCGAAGTCCCATCAGAGCAAGAGGGATAACGAGCTCTCTTATCGACGCCCGGACTTGTGAGCGCTTGGTGGTCAGAGACGAGAGCGGTGAACAGGATGAGAAGTTTCAGAAAATGGGGATCCAAGACGGAGGTGCTATGCTCGCTGTAATCAGCCATCCATCATCCCCAACATCCCCCAACATCCCCATCTTCAACACCACCAACCGCCAGCGTAAAAACGTAAAAAGAACCCGGGCGTGCAGTAGTAACAGGCAATAATGGCACCTCCCGTCGGTCTGCTCGCTAAAATTCTAGGGCGTGGGACGATGGATGACGGGTACCTTTACGGTCAGATCAATTCAGTTGTCGAGCTGGCCAAAAAAAAGGACCCAGTCCGCCAAAGCGGCACTGGCCTGGGCTGGCTTGGCCCTGCCTTGGCCTGGCTTAGCTTGGATCATGCAAAGGCGCTAATCCAACTCTCTTTTTTCTCTCTCTGCGCCTACACCCATCCGTTTTGTCGAAATGGCGATGAGCCCATCGAGGGACGCACGCACGCACGCACGCACGCACATCCACACACACACCCTCCCGGAGAAAGGCAAGGTAGGATGGATCCATCATGCATGCACCACACATGCACGCATGCAAAGCAGGCAGGCAGGCTGTTACAGCACGAAAGAGCCCCATCCTTGTCCTTGTCGGAAGAAGAACAGTCCAAGTACCTACCGTTGGACTCGGGATGAAAGACGACTGACAAGCCAAAACCCGGCCGGTACCTACTCGTCCCTCCCAGTACGAGCCGGGTCGCTCGGTCTCGTCCTGACCCAGGCCCATCGCCGCACTACCTAGTTGCGCCTAGCACCTAGCAAGGGGAGAGCCCCATTGCCTTGACTTGCTCTGTTCGCCGTTGACCATCCATGGACGGGCTGCGCTGTTTGGCCCTGACATGCAGAATACATCTCCGGAGACGGATGGATCTCTGGACGATACCGCGTCTGTACGGAGTACACTAAACTGCCCTCCCTGTTTCTTGCATACACCCACCCCCCATCAACTCGTCTATCCTCCGCCCTCCTCCTCCCCAACTGCCATCCATCCTCACTAAAACCTCAGTCCACTTCTTCCCTCGCTCGACTCCCTCCCATATCCTTGAGATTCCCCCCCATCAAATTGCGTGGCCTGTCGAGCGATTTAACATATCGTTGTGCTGCTCCCTTTTATTTCTCACGAGCATCACTATTCTCTGATCTATTGATTTATTTCTTGCTGCACGAGTGCCACTGTAAGGCCGTACAGAGAGAGGGAGACACTCCGTAACAGGCTTCCGTACCGAGAGCGCAGCGCTGAGTTTTAGCCCACTTTTGCCCCCCCAGTGAAAATTTCCAAGGTATGTGTGGCACAGTCCAGGCGAGCAACCACTGCCATTTTTGGCACGCCCCCCCCCTCCCCATTCTTGACCTGTGCGCCCCGTCTGTTCATTATTCAAAACCACCAGACCCGGCTGCTCCATCCTACCTCGCCCATTCCTCTCCCTCCCGTCTCACCACCGCACCATTGTTTACCTCGAGCACCTCGAGAACTCTGGCCTGTCCCTTCCGCCTCTCCATTGCCAGCTGACGGTTCGACATAGCCCCAGCAACCCGAACAGCCGAGCGTGCTTCATTCCCCCCCAAGCGAGCCGGCATCGTCATCATCACGAACGACCGCGATCGTCCCTGTCCTCGACGTCTTTGACCAGCGCGAGGCTTCACCACCAGAGAGGGCTTGATTTGCTTCTTTCTGCCTCTCGTCGCAGAGACAACGAAACAGCCGCAGGAACATTGTTCTTGGGCTCTTTCTTCCTCCCCTTCACCTCTTCGCTTTTCTCCCTCGCCAGACGACCCTCGAGAGGATCCTTCCCCTCTCGATAGCGATCCGATCTCCAGGTCTCGTCTCAGCACGATTGCACTTGGATATCAGGAGCTACTTCTGCTGTGTGCTTGAGGATTCGACTTGTCTCCTCGAGCTCAGCTGTCAAGAAGGAAATAGCCCCGCTGCTGAAATATTGCCGGGGTATCCTCTTGCCATTCCTCCCAAGAGTCCACGGGACCGCTGAGTAAGTACCTGATTCCCCAGAAAGTCTCAGACATCACGGAGAATGTAGCGAGTCGGCCCACGCACATCTCGCGCTCGTTTTTGCACACAGAGAAATAAATTCCACAGCATCGCCACACCTCGTGCACTCGCGAACTCCTACCGCCCTTCTTTCCCACCCTCACCTCCAAGCCCACACGTCACTTCCCTCGCGATAAGCTTCTCACGCGCAGCACCTCGCTGCGATGGATCGGGGTCAATGTCCTTGTGCTGGAGATCTTGGCTGACCACGCTCGTGTCCTTCCTCTATCTGCAGGTTACCAGATTATTAGCAGTTCTTCCCTCGATCGGACTCGGCGCCATCCATGCATCTTGCTCGGAGAGGTTAACCCCCGAACTGCCCTCCTACACTTCCCCCCAGAGCAGTTGTCTATTCGGCCGTCCTCCTACCGCACAGGCAGAACGGTTGTCGGGAATGCCTTACACGCCCCCTTCTCACCGTTCTCCCTCCGCGTCAGCTCCCACATCCCCCGATGCCAGCCGGAGACCGTCGCTGGTAAGCGGAGGTTCCCGCCCAGTCCTGCCCAGGTCGGCTTCGTATCTCACGAGACACCGACGCACACCCTCCGCCGTGGGAGCTCCCGATGGAGCAGCGAGCCAGCCCTCTCCAGACGCCACATCTGACGACCTCAAGAGCCTGGTCAGCAGCCGAAGCGTCCGACAGTCGCCTCCGCCCGTGACGAGCGACCGAGGGATGCCTCAAGGCGCCATCCTGTCCCCGCCTGAGTCGGCATCGAATAGTGACGATGATGACCTTCCTCAGATGCGCGGAAGGCAGATCGAGAACCTCAAGGAGCTGAAGGAGCTGCACGAGGCCGTGAGCCAACTGCCCCGGCACCGAGAGAGCTCACCCACCAGGCCCGATGCAGGCGACCTCCTCGTCCTTCCTTCTCAATCCGAGGGCATCCACCACAGCTTCAGTGCGAGCGCCCTGGACGACATGGCCCATGCGGGACGCAAGATCTCCCACACACGATCGGTGACGGAGCCCCATATCCTAATCAGCAAGTCTGCCGACAACTCGTTGACGGGGTCGGATGATGAGTCGGAGGAGCCGCTGAAGAAGCCGCAGATGGTGCGCAAGAAGTCGGGCGAGCTCGTTCGACCGGCCCTTCGCCCAGCTTCGCGGCGGCGGCCCTCGAGTATGCCTGGGACCCCGACCTTCTCCAAAGCTGTGCACTTCGACTCCCACCTAGAACATGTCCGCCACTTCCTCCAGGTCGACAGACCACTCGCTGTCAGCGCCGGGTCTTCCCCGAACGAGAACTACGACAGCGACAACGAGTATCCTTTCCCCGGTGACGAGCGCAGGAATACCCGGAACCCTCCCTACGAATGGGAGATCATCGTCACCAACTTCCCAGTCGAGACGCCTGCCCGCAAGGCACTGCCCGTCAGGTTGGAGCGCGTGTGGCTGTCTAACGACCAGAAGTGCCTGATAGGCTCGGTCGTGGTCACCAACCTCGCATTCCAGAAGTATGTCACCTGCAGGTTTACCCTCGATTACTGGAAGACCACTTCCGAAGTCGCCGGCGATTACGTGACCGAAGTGGGACGTAGGGACCTGCCCGACCAACACGATCGCTTCAACTTCTCGATCAAGCTGTCCGACCTGGCCAACCTCGAGTCCAAGACGCTCTACTTCTGCATCCGTTACAACGTCAACGGCCAGGAGTTCTGGGACAATAACAGTGGCACCAATTTCCAAATAGATTTCAAGAAGAAGCATCTGCCCATGAACGGCAAGAACAACTTCCAGGGTGCCTCCTCGAGACCTCTCAACTCGCTGCCCAGGAGCAACCGCCGGTCTCCGGGCCCTGACGGACGTCCCCGGTCGATGCCCGCCTCGTCGGACGAGTTCGGGGAGAACCAGAAGATCAACTTCGACCAGTCACTCCACGAGTATCTTGGCGAGACCGGCACCTCTCTGCGGCTCAAGGGCGTCAAGTCCAGCACCAACCTGCCGAGCGATAATCTCTCTAGCAGGCTGTCTGCCCCGAGCGGGCAGGCATTTGCAAACAGATACGACTTTGGTGCTTCCCTGACTGCCGCCGTCCAAGCCGCCAAGGATGCCATGGGCAACAAGCCCGACGGCTTGTACATGAAGCCGCACCGCAAGGCCAGCGTCCAGATCGCTACTGCCAACACCGGAAAGCCTCTGGCTAAGGACACTGGGTCTCCCGTGCCCGGCTCCAGCCCCGTCAAATCTGCCGCTCCTGCAACCGCGTCGGCTCCGGCAACATCGGGAGTCCAGTCTCCCGGCTCAGGCAGCATCTCCTCCGCCTCGTACGAGGAGTTGGTCAACAAATACTGCTTTGTATGTACTTCCGGCAGCTCGTCAACCCGCTAGCCCCCGCCTCCGGCAAGCACAGGTCGCCACCAGAACGGGCAGCTAACATCATCTCTCTAGTTCGGCTCGAAGCAGACCAGCCCCCAGCTGAAGGATGGCACCCTCAAAGGAGGCCGTTTCGATGGCAACGACGAGTACTACCGGGGGGACAGCTCCAACTCGAGCTCAAACGGGAGCCCGCAGATGCGTACCGTCCGGCACGCCTCTCACGCCCAGCACCACACGCTGCACCCCAAGGATCCCAACCCGTACTTCCAGCACTCCCCGACTCTCTCCATGGCTGCCTCGCCCGTCGCATCGCCTCTGAAGAACCCGGTTGAGCGCATCTCGAGCCCACTTGCCGGCCAGCCGAGGAACCCTGCACCCGTGTCAGCACCATCCCCTGCCCGATCAGTGTCACCTGCTTCCATGGTCGGCAGCTTCCCTCCCTTCGCCGGTACGTCGCCGAATGATTTTGCTTTTGCGAGCATGCAGGATCGATTCCCATTCAGCGGAACGGACGCTCATACCGCGACAGCTATTAGGGGTTAAGCTGCCTCACCGGACGGATCAACCGGACGCACCTTCAACAACATTCGGAGACGGCCCCACCTACAACTCCCGTGGCTACCTGTCTCTTCTCGGTTACGACACCTACCAGAGAGCCAACACCTACAAAGGCAGAACCAACAACCTCTTGCCAGTACGGCAAGGGCACGGCGCTGCAACGCATCTTCGGCGCCTCAACCTCGACGAATGAATGGCTTCATCTCTGATGCCCATGCCCCCGCGGGTTCCTCTTATCTTCTCAGCCTTGTCCTTATTCCCTCTACTTTTGCATTCAACGGTTGTTCGGCGTTCAGGGGATCAAGGATATCATGTCTCGACTTGGAACCCACATACACGAAAAGGGATCGAGATCGGAGCTTCGACATTCGTCACTGTTTCCACGACATCATTGGGAAATGACTGTTTCATCACTGTCGGTCGCTCTCCTCGGGACTTTGACAGTCTCGAGCATCGCCGATGATCTGGTACATACAAAGACTCAGGATCAACTTCAGGCATCGGCGTTTTGTGCTTCTTTTTCTTTTTTTCTATAATGCATAATTTCCTTGAGTCCAGCGATCATGACTTTTGCAGTCTGAAAACTTTTCTCAGCTCAACCGTCTACGATGAGACTATGCTTTTTTTGTTTTTATCCACGGCATTGATTGGTCAGAGAGAGCGAGCGATTGTTCCAATTGCGTTTCTCGCGAGAATGATCGGTGGTCTGGAAACACTTGACGCTTTCTGTCTTTGCCACTTCCTAGGCACTGGCAGATGAGTAATACTTGCAGGGGGGAGGTTGTGGGAGAATTATGAGTTTTTTGTGTGTGTTGGTTTCACCTGCTTTTTACGCGCGCGAGGGAAGAATTATTACCTCGGTATAGATCGAGAATATCTTGGAGTTTGGAACAAAATCTGGGGGGGGGACAAAAAAGAGACCTGGAATAACCTCGAGAGAAGACATTCTCCGAAGTTTTAGGAATACGGGAAAGGCAGGGGAAGAGAAAGGATACACGAATATGGGAGAGGGTGAGGGGGGGAGAGACCTGACAAGGGGCAGAAGAACACCGAGACCTCTTTTTTCGCAGAAACGTTACACAATTAAAGACCTCATGCGTATGGAGAAGTGTTATCTCATCAACCATCTTGCAGTCTATCATTGATGCTGGGACTTGTGCGACTTGTGACTTGTTGTTACTTTGGATATATTTGTGACTTGTGTTGCCAACTAGTGATGTTGCGTTGTATGTGCAGCAGCCTGTTTCTAATGACTGATGTGGGTTTCTGCTATTACGACTTCCTATTTAGATCACTTCGTTGATAAGTCGGAGGCCCACATCTTGGACCACCCCCCCCCCCCGGGCCACCTCTGGACCACCAAAATCGCCAATATTCAGAAGTTATTATTTAATTATAGAAAAATACTTATAACTTATAAGTTTTATCATTAAATAGCTTATTACTTATAGTATTTTTAAAAAGTACTAAAAAAAGTCTAATTATTATATAGAGACTAAAATCTTAAAAATAAAAACTTTTTTTATTTTTAATAGTTTTACTAAGAGATTATATAGAAAAGTATTAAGAGTCTTTTTTTAAATATCTTATTAAGAAAAGTTAATAAAAATATTTTAAAAATTTATTTTATCTAATTATATAAGTTATTTATAGAGTAAATTATTAGATTACTTCTATATAATTTATATTAATAAGATTTTTAAAGAGCTAAAATTTACTAGTAAAAATAGAAAAAAAAGTAGATAAAAGTACTAAAAATAATAATATCTTTATAATAAAATTAAATATAATTCTATTCTTTATATATAATTATATTTAATTTATAAGAGATTTATTGATACTATTTTTAATTTTATAACTATTTTATCTATTAAGATAGTAGTGTTATAGGGTTAGGGTTTAATATGGGAAAAGTCCACTTTTAGGTGGTCCGGAGGGGGGGTGGTCCAAGATGTGGGCCTCCGACTTAGTCAATGGATGCAGTTGTGCAAAGTCTCGTAGGACATTGCTCTCATAACATATGCGTGCTTTCTATCTATATTGCAACGCTTTTTTGCGTGGGTTCTTATAGGCTCGTACGTTGTCAGCGGGATGTCTCTCTAGGATGAGGCCGTCTCTGCGGTGCACAGGTGAGAATCGAACCAGTAGATGAGCCAAATACAGGCTTATGGGTGGCGAGGATGTGTTGCTTTACAGATGTCTTTCGACTGACACTCATATGGATTGATGAAGCCTTTTTTGGCACATCTCATTAATTATGGATTATTGGCTCAAAAGAAATGAATGATGGATATTTCTTAGATTTCCGTAGTCCTTGCTCGCACCTATATATTATCACTTGAAAACATCTCCGCACACCTAGGGCAGACAAGTGAGCAGGCTCCCCAGCTTCTGCAGCACGACGGCCTGCTTGTCGACCGAGGCCGTCGTCTTGTCGTTGGCGTCCCCGACGCTGACCGAGATGTAGCACCCGTCCTCGTGGCTGACGTCCGTCTCGGTGGGCAGCCGCGCGCCGCCGCAGTGGCGCACGTCGGGCGCCGACAGCCAGCCCGGGTTGACGCGGCTGAGCACCCACTTGAAGGCCGCGGGCCGGGTGCAGGCGCCCTCGGCCTTGGGGAAGTTGACGTTGAGGAAGACGTCGTCGGGCAGGTAGGGCGCGCCGGACGCGAGCACGGCGTCGGTCAGCTGCGTCGCGAGCTGGGCGTACAGCAGGCTGCGCAGGGGCGGCGGGGAGGCGTCCCAGGCGAGCTTGCCGTCCGAGGCGCCGGAGAAGGCGATGGCGGGGATGCGCGCCTCGTGCGCGGCGTAGACGGCGGCGCCGACGGTGCCCGAGAAGGGCACGGCGAGCCAGAGGTTCGAGCCGACGTTGGGGCCCGTGACGACGAGCTCGGGCTTGCGCCCCTGCCAGAACTGCGGGCCGAAGGTGTCGATGCCGTAGCGGACGCCCGTCACGGGGAAGGCGTTGACCCAGTTCAGGCGCGGGCTCGTGGCGTTGTTGCCGACGGGGGCGCCGGTGCCGGCCGGGCAGCTGTTGTACTCGCACGCGTCCCTGCGGGGGCTGGGCTCGACGTCGAGGGAGCCTGCGGGATGTGGGGGAGGTATATACGTCAGCGGGTTTCAATGTCCCTCCCTCCCTCTTTCCCTTCTGCCATGGGAGTGCAGGCCTGCTTTTGCTGTTCGGCATCGCTCACCTGTGCCGGACTTGTTGTCGGCGGGCGCGGACAGGACGACGTCGTGCCCGGCGGCGTTCAGGGCGTCGTTGAAGGAGCGGACGTACAGCTCGGCCCAGCCGTCGTCGTTGCCCTGGAGGATCCGCGCTGCCTGGCCGCAGTGGGCCGCGAGCAGGGCCGTCGCCGCGACGGAGATCGATTGGGCACGCATCGTGAAGTTTGTCTGTCGTGGGGGCGGCGCGCCGGAAAGAAAAGGAAGCGGACGAAGAGCGGCGGCAGGTGCAGGGGGGGCTGGAGGCCGTGAAGACGTCGGCGCTGGACAAAAAGGAGATGCGCCGTCGGGGCGCTGCGGCTTTATATATGTCGATCATCTGGGCCTTGCCCGTCTCGAGGCGGTGCATAATGGAGACAGCATAGCATTAAGGACCGGGATCGCAGCGGCGGAGTGCTCCAATCAGGGTAAGCTCCGCCGCCTAGCAGCGCGCCGAATGAAACGGCTCGCCTCGCAACTCCGTCCAGGGTCGCAACGGCTTTCGCAGCGCGGGGGATTGGTGCGATCTCCATCCAAGCAGAGGGCTGATGGCGGGGCACGTGGGATCGCCGTTGTGCATCTCGCAGGGCGACATGTTGAAACACCCACCCCGGGCTCCACAACGTCATCGTCGCTCAGCTGCTGGGTCGGGCGGGCCAAGGCGCCGAATGCAGACTGCTCAGCCGATTAGCGAAGGGTCTGGGAGGAGGAACTGTCACATGCTAGGAGTCGATAGTCGAATATCATTTCACCAGCAACATCACGTCCATTGGCGACGTTGAGCCGGCGGACTGCGGAGGATGAGGGAACCTGACATCCAAGCAACTCGGCACGCACGGGAACTGCAGCCCGAGGATTTGTCAACTGCTTCAGGACGCACGGGAACAAGCAGGCAGTGTTGAGTGTTAGTGAACCGCATCTGGCACCGTGGATCAACGCCAGTGCTTACTCGACTGGATCCACGGGGTGCCATTCTCCTCAAACAGGAACCGTCAATCCACTGAGGCCTGACCTCTCCCTCCCACGACAAAGGTGGGCGTGTCGTGGGATATCCTGGCGTATTGTCAACTCCTCGGAAGATGATCCGGGGGTGTCGTCTTCTCATGACAAAGGCCTCGCATCAACCCAACTTTCGGTTTCCGTGGAGAGACTGCAAGGCTGACGGATAACGGTGGATGAGGGCTATACCGAATGCTTGCTTCCATGGTTTTTTATTACCTAGGTAGGTTTTGGCGTGCCATGTCTTGGTCTTACCTACAGGTATGTCTTACTCAGAGTCCAGCAGCAGTTGAGTGCGGCTTATGGCGGCAAGAACCTACATGTGCAGCCTGCACCAGAGCGGCAGCCGCGACTCAGGAGTGCCGGGGATGAATGGAACCGTCATAGCCGCCCCCTCGCGCAGATCTGATTGGCTTACGCCCCCAACCGGAGCGGGCGTTCCACGTCTCGACCAGAGAATCCAAGGTAGGGTTCAGTCGAGTAACTACCTACCTGTAGGCAGGGCCTATCGCGGATAACTGTGGGCTTGCTCTTCCATTTCCACGGTCTAGACCTCCGGCCTGGCGCCTCCAACCGCCCAAACCCCACCCCTGTGCGCGGGAGAGTGGCGAGTCTCCCACCGTCTTCCCACCGTCTTCCCACCATGCCAATTGGCATCTTTCCCACCCCTCCATCGAGATTCCCATGCACCGCCATCATCGACATGTCCGGCAGGGCTGACGCCGCCCGCCTTTTCCCCTGTCTGCAACATTGAACCCTTCGCTTGCGTCTCTTTCGCCTGGGTTGGGTTCACGCAAATCACTCGCCACCTCATCCGTCCCTGGCCTAGACGGAATTGATTGATTGATTTTGTAGGCCCGGCGCAGCAGAGTCTGGCGTCCACGACGACACTCGCGGATGCTTGGCTGGTGTCGGCGCAAACATGCCGGGAAGGGCGGTGACAGAGGCAGCTCGTGAGCTGGAAACATTCACGTTCGTATCCCACCCACCGTGCTCTCGACCGGCGCCCACATTGTCTAACGCAGACCCCTCTGCCTCAGCTACGAGTCCGCCCTCCTCGCCAATACCATCTGCAACGACGTCGCCAACCTCATCTCCTCGTCGAACCTGCGCCCCTCCAAAGACGGCGCCCTCACGGCCTTGGCCCAGGTCGCCGCCCTGCGCCTGAACGCCTCCCGTGCGTTGATCTCCCTGTTCGACCGCCAGCATCAGCATGTCATCGCCGAGGCTACTCAAGACCTCCGCATATGCGACGGTCCCCCGTCAGACAGGCTATGGCTCTGCGGTACGGCTGTTCCGAGGTCTTCCGGCCTGTGTGAGAATGTCCTTCATCCTTCTGATCCCGATTCGCCTTTGCGCGAAGCTCGAGCGGCCAAGCTCCCCGTCACCGTGGTCGATGACCTTCTCGAACATGAAGAGTTCCGGGACGAATGGTATTGCCAGGGGTGGCCCCGCAATCGCTTCTATGCCGGCGTTCCCATTCGCTCCCGTCGCGGGATCAACATCGGAGTGCTTTGCGTCTTGGATGACAAGCCGAGAAGGGGCATCAGCGACACATCTGTCCAGGTCCTGCAGGACCTCTCCGAGGCTGTTCTTCAACACCTAGAAATCAGACGTTCTGGAGACGCGCATCGCCCTGGACACCGCATGCTGCGGGGCCTGGGCAGCTATGTCGAAGGCAGGGCCACCATGTCCGATTGGGAGAACCAAGGACCCAACGCCTCTCAAGACATGCAAGCCACTGACGCCGAAGGACTCTTGAACAGAGCTCAGCAGGATCTTCAAAGGGAACGCGACAGCCTCTCAGACATCAACTTTGCCGACGTGACCGAACCGCTAGACCGTCTCCCTGCCCCGATATCACCCAGCAAGGTCACCCACGAGCCTTACTTTTCGATAACCGCCGGCTCGGAACCCACGACCGCAGACACGATCAAGACCCCACCGGCCTCAGATCTGGACGGCCGCCTAGGACAGATTCAACAGATATTCTCGAGGGCGGCCAACATTTTGAGAGAATCCGTCGAGGTCGAGGGCGTCCTATTTCTCGGCGCTGGCACGCCCTTCACCAGCTCAGCCAACTCTGGGACTGGCCACACGCCACATAGACAGAGTCGGTCTGGCCCCTTAATATCATCTTCATCCGATTCTGAAGAGAGCCCACGGGCGAACTCGACAGAACGACAGAGCGACTCAGCGGAAACTGTTTGCGATGTGATTGGATTCTCCACCTCCAAGTCCTCCAGCATAGACGCCGCGTATCCCCGCCAGAGTCACCAGATAGTGCCTCAAAGATTTCTGCAGAGGCTGCTTCGCCGCTATCCCGGAGGCAAGATTTTCAACTTTGACGGACAGGGCTCTTTGATCCCTAGCGACAGCTCGTCGAGCGAGGAAGGCTCGGCCAAGGCTCGCACAGCGCAACACGAGGAACCTGGAAACAATGCTACGAGTCCAAAGCAACAAAGTTCAAAGCGGGAAAACACGATACGTTACCGAGAAAATGAGTCGAAAACGATTACCACCCTCTTCCCGGGAGTCCGCAGCCTATGTTTCATACCGCTGTGGGATTCGCACAGACGGCGCTGGTTTGCGGGTGGGTTTGTCTACACCATGACACCATTTCGCGTTTTCACGTTACAGGGCGAGCTCAGTTATCTTTCGGCATTTGCTGCTGTCATCATGAGCGACTTCGCCCTGATGGAGAGCGCATTTGCGACGAGTGCAGTGTCATCCTTGCTGAGCTCGTTGTCTCACGAACTCCGATCCCCTCTTCACGGCATCGTGCTGTGCACTGAGCTCCTCCACGATACGTCGCTGGACGTCTTCCAGGGCGACATGCTGCGCTCGCTCGAAACCTGCGGCCGAACCCTGCTGGACACAATCAACCACCTGCTCGACTGGACAAAGATCAACAACTTTATAAAGGGCTCCGGCGAGGACCCAACAAGTCAAAACCGACGAATGATTCGCGGAGGACGTAAAACCTCCGCGGCGGACGGTATAATGCACCTGACCTCTCACCTCGAGCTGGACTGTCTGATTGAGGAAGTTGTCGAGTGCATCCACGCCGGCCATACATACCAGCAGCGAGCTGCACTCCAAGGAACGCAGGCTGATGCCTCGAGCAACCCACATGCTCGACTTGACGCTGCGGACGACCTATCGGACGCCGACTCTCCTACACAGCGCCAATCTCATCCTTTGATCATCATGCTGGACATTGAGCCAATGTTGGAGTGGACCTTTGAGGCCCAGGCGGGTGCGCTGCGCAGGATCATCCTGAACATCTGCAGCAACGCTTTACGATATACCGACCAAGGTTTCGTCAAAGTCGTCGCTTATCAGGAGCCACATGGCCAGTCGGGGTCTCCGAATAGAATTGTTCACATTGACTTTGTGGACACGGGAAGGGGAATGGGGTCGGATTATCTCGGCCAGTCGTTGTTCAACCCATTTAGCAAGGAGAACGCCCACTCCCCCGGAGCAGGCCTCGGACTGAGCCTGGTGCAGAAGTTTATCAAAGCCCTCGGCGGCACGATTCGGGTCCAGAGCGAGCTGAACAAGGGCACCAAGGTCTCCGTCAAGCTGCCGCTCAAAGCCTCCACCGGCAGGGGAGCAGAGGCGGCGGACGGCCGGAGCGATTTCGACGCTCAAGTCGCGGAACTATCGCGCCTTCGCGTATGCTTGATGGGGTTTCCCACTGCGCAAAGGAGCCTCCTAGGCAGCGCCGCAGGTGGCGCGGAAGAGTTTGACGAACAAGCGCTGTTATCGAAGATCTGCCAAGACTGGCTGCAAATGGATGTTGTCGGTTCCGGACAGGACGAGGAGTTCATGCCGGATCTGATTCTCTGTGACGAGTCGGCAGTCTCGAAGCTGAACTGCCGCTCCGAGCTGTCCTCGCCCGTCATCATCGTCTGCCGCAATCCTGCTGCGGCTCGCGACTTGGAGAGGGCTCACATGAAGCACAAGCTTACTCGGGGGTTGTACAGCTTCATCTCTCGCCCGTAAGTTATCAGTCTGAATTTCTCATGCAGATCCACCGTGTCGTCGTCTGTTGTGTGCTAACATTTCCATTTTTCTCTTTTCTAGAGTGGGACCTAGGAAGTTAGCTAAGGCCTTTGTCCTTTGTTTCAGGAGATGGACGAGGTTACAGGCGCGGTTCGCTGAAGAAGGCCACAGCATGGCGACCTCTATCGGCGAAGAGGCGTCGACGCTCGGCGACAATCCGCAGCAGGCTTCTGGACAGCTCGACGAAGCTGGAGCAACCCACCCCGACACACTCCCGCAAGCCGCGCCAGCACTTCAACCCGCGAGCGACGACGACCCGACCCTTAGGTCCGTGACACCGACTCCCGCCTCCAGAGCGGGGGGCGGCCGCTTCCTGCTCGTCGAGGACAACGCCATCAACATGAAGATCCTCAAGACGTACATGAAGAAGCTCGGCAGGGCGTTCGACACGGCCGCCGACGGCCGGCAGGCGGTCGACATGTACAAGAGCCGCAGCGGCGGCGGCACCGGCGGCGGCGGCGGGTACGCCTGCGTCCTGATGGACGTCTCGATGCCCGTCATGGACGGGTTCGAGGCCACGCGGCTCATCCGCGAGTTTGAGCGGCGGGAGGGGCAGGGGCGGCCCGGGGCGCACGTCGTGGCCATCACGGGCCTGGCGTCGCGGGACGCGCAGGAGGAGGCGCTGGCGGCGGGCGTCGACCTGTTCCTGTCCAAGCCTGTCCGGCTCAAGGAGCTGAGCCGCTTGCTTAGGGAGCGGGGCTTGGTCTGATGGCTGGTGGCTGATGGCTGATGGCGTGCGGGACGCGGGGGCTTGACTTTGCATGTGTGTGAGTGTGTGTGTGTTGGGGGGGGGGGGGGGGGGGGGGGGGGGAGATGGATGTAGCCCGATGTTCCGTGCTTTTGTAGAGTGAGAGAGTGTGGTTTGATATGAAGAGAGGGAGATATATATTCGGAAAGAGAATCGTGATTCTGGTATTCTTTGTTGTTTGAACAGACTGAAGGTGATGGACGGGATAGTAGCCTGTTGGCGCTGAAGACAAAACCCCAGCGCTGTGTCCTCGGTCCCGGTGGGAGGAAACGCTGAACTGTGTCAGGAAAAGAATGGGGACGGCAAGACACCTTTGGAGGTGTTTGGGGATCGGGCTTGTGGTCGATGGTGGAGCTCAACGGGAGTTGATCGTGTTTCTCAAAGATGGGAAGAAAGCGAGGAGAAATGCGGGCTGTGTGTAGTCTATGACAGGGAATCGGATTCGGATAACGGCTTTTTCGATGTGCGCAAACGTCCCGCATCGAAGATGTTCGGATCAATGTCTGTCTGTCTAGTCTCTAGCAGTGAAAACGAACTACTGAGTATCGCTGAGCTGGAAGCAGTCTCGATTCTCCCGCCCGACCATGGGCTTTCCATTGTACCTTTTGAGGAAGTGGAACTGGTGGGATAGCTCTACGATACGGGCCTCTCTGATTAGGATTCCTGACCGAACTCAGAGTAAAGTTTGGGCGTGAAAGCCACTCCAATATAGGATTTAGTTACCTGGAATTATGTCCAGGCAATCCTTTTCGGACTCGCCCTCTTTCCTTCAAGATAAACAAAAGAAGGGATAATCGCCAAAAGATCGTTTTATTCGTTTTTATTTCTACTTCTAGTGATCCTAGGTCATGAGTGTTGTATGCCGAAGCTGTTCAAGGCATGCTCTGCCGTGAATCGCCTGCTAAGATTGATAGTTGTAAACACCTTTCTCCTGTTCTCTTTTCACTATTTTACTTCCTTTCTTTCTCTGCAATCGTTCCCAACTCATCCTTTGCGAATTAGATAGTGACATAGAGTATTCTAGTAGCAAAAGAGAGGCATTGCAAAACCTCGTCTGCATATTTGGCTCTTCAAGAGTGGCGTCCAGGAACATGGATCTTGATATTGAAAATGGGATTACTCCCCAAACGCTACAGTGAAATGATTGGCAGGGCTCAGAGGCCGCCTAGCAATTCGGCCTGCAAAGAACCCCAGATCACAAACGCATAATGAAGCAAGCAGCTCCCTGGGTCATGGCCCATGCTCGCAGTGGCCATCCTGGCCGTACTAAACAGTCTTTGATCCGTGCTTTTCACGACGAATAATACTATTTCTGAAACCATTCTCTTCTTTCTTGTTTATTTCCCACGTACACATGTCATTATGTACCACGTGTGCGGCGTCTCCTGCTCCCTTGAACTTACCACCTTAGCTGGAAAGGTAGAAAGACCGAGACAGTGCACGTCCTTTTGCTTGTTAATGGGGATAAAAAACCGTGGAAAGTGCATCATGTGATATTGATGAACGAAGAAAAGCGATCTATGTGGAAATAGTGGCTCAACCCTCCAAAGAAGTCATGATGGAACACTAAGATGCATTTGAAACTTCATTTGAGTCATACTTTACATATGTATATCTCCTACTGTGCTCGACATACGAACAAGAACAGAACTTTTATGTGAGAATTGAAAGCCGCGCGGGCTCAATGCTCGCAGAAGCCATATACAAAATTGTTCAGATGCGCATCAAACTTCTTGACACTTGCACTCCTCTCCTTCATCAGCTCGTCCCTCATCCTATCCGCCTCCTTCTTTCCGTACGGGAAATTTACCAGGTCCGCCACCATCTCTATCAATTCAGCCGGCAACTTTGACACTGGTAAGTCCGGCTGCGTCACGCCCTTCCACCAATCCTGACGCTGCGGAGGAACGTTGGCAGTGGAGATGACGGGGATCTTGGGATCGACGAGGAAGAGGGCGACGATTTTGCGGTGGCCGGGTTTGGTCGGGCCGATGAGTTTACAGGGGCTCACGCGGTGTTGGTAGAGGTTGGGGAAGAAGAGGGCGCGGCCGGGCCGGGTGAGGACACTGCCGACGAGCTGAATGGCAGGGCTGGTGGAGGCCCCGGCGCTAGGCAGGAAATCCATGGCAAAGGTGCGCTGAATGGCGTAGCTGTCGTTGTGCTCATACTCAACGTTCAAGGCCAAGCTTTCTCGGTTCGCCCGCGTGCGGAAGTCGAGGCGGCTGTGAGTCACGTTCTCCGAGTCATAGCAGTACAAGGCGGTGGCGCAGATGTGCTCGTTCTGCAAAGATCCGAGACGCCGAGTCAAAGAAACCGGACGTACGGACGTCGTTCGGACCGATGAGTACAGGCAGCTCGGCTGGGTCCGGATCTGGAAGATCCATCGTGTGTGTTGACTTGAACCAAGCCATATCAAGCCTCCCACGTTCTGATTCTTCGTAGCTGTCCTCGTACAGCTCGTCGTCGTCGCGAGGCTCTTCGCCCTGGTTGAGTGGACGATTGGCAGGCATGCACATGTGGTTCACCTCGCATAGCTTACGGGTCCGGCATTTGACTCCAGAAAATGCAGTTTTGAGGCGTTGCATGGAGAATTCCTGAGGCCAACGGTAGAGAACGTCCCAGGCCGGCAGAGCCTTTTTAATCAGTCGGTTTAATGTAGGGAATAGCGTTGCATGGTGGGTTGGGTGTACGTTGTTCACATAGCTGTCAATATTGGCTTTGCCATCAGGTGTGATGCTGACGTCGGATGGAAGGCACTGAAACCTAGTCGAGAAGTATTCGCCCTCTTTGGCTTCCATTGGTAGAAGCTCGGGGATAACGTAGCCACCGCCGCAGTGGTCCAGAGCATCTTCTATTCCAACACGCCCATTTGGCAAGATGCGAGTCTTGCCGTAGACAAGAGGCCAGACGGAAGGATGAACGAGGTCGAGGGCTTGCTTATTGGACCCAGGATGCCAGTCTTTCTGGTCAGCTGGAACATTCTCAAGTGGCACCACGGCAGCCTTGAGGTCGGCAACGAGGTCGTCCGTCAGGAGCTTATCAGACTTGAGAGCTGCGATGCAGTAGTCCATGACAGAAATCAGACCTGTCTGCTCGTAGATGTCTGCCTTGTGGCGTAGCTCCTCGAGTATCTGGATAAAAGAATTAGCAGAGAGGATCTGGAAAGCTTTAGTTGATGCGAGGACGTACTGCGCCGGCCATGGCTGGAGTGGAGTCCGCATGTTGCTGTAGCTCGGAAAAAATGCCTGGAGTGGGTCGAAGCCTGAGCATTGCAGGCGCCCGGTGGATGAGAGAATGGTGATGTTCCCCATGTGGCCATATTTTGGTTCACTGCTATGGTATGATGCTAAGAAGGGACTAAAGGGATTAGAAAACTCGAGGCAGCGAGTCAAGGAGGCCATCAAAAGCGATAGGCACGACGAAAGAATGATAGACTATGTGGATGACCAGGGACAAAGCATGGTCCACTACTGAAAGACCGCTCAAGCATTATTGAAGCCAATAATCCTTCATCCTCATGACGTGCAACATAATATGCATTAATCTCCTCAGCTGCCATTATAAGTACCGGAAGAGAATACTCAAAAGTAGGTATAACCCTATCAAGCCGTCAAGGCAAATCTTTGATAGGCTCTAGCCAACACGGCATCCCGGACTCCAACAGAAAACAACCTCTGCTGAATGGAGCTTCGAGTTTTCAAGTTCGCTGCTGCTGTTGTAAACACTAGCCTGCAAGCATGGCTTTTAGTCCAGTCCAATTTATATGTAAGGGTATACACCTCAGGCTTGCTATGAGTCCTTCTGCACAAATATATACTCGATCTGATGACTTATAGAATCAGTTGTAATTATCATTTAACTGGTAGGGATGATACTGGTCGGAGGCTCTCTGTTTTGTGTGACCCCGAAATCATAGCCGTGGTCTCTGCAGCTGGTTGTAAGGATTCAAGACCTAGTTCCTCACGGAGTGATATGTAGCAATGGGGATTTCTTTCCGAATCTAATTCCTCTAAAATATGGATTTCCCGCATTTCCCAAGTAGCCATACACTACTCACACAAAAGGCTCGTGTTTCTAAAATCCAGAATGACTTTAATACCTAGCAAGGTGAGAAGCAGCGTGCCAAAGGCTTGGCTTGAGGATTACTCTTGTGATGCTTGACCAACTAGAGTGTGTACAATTCGATTCTGTAGCGAGTTCAACCATCTCTTGCGGGTTGGAGGTCGGTCTAGTAAGAGCTCAATCTACCAACTCTAAAACTCGGCTTCACCAAACATAGCAGTCACTTTCTGCCTCGCGCCATTTTCCCACTGGTCCCACCCAAAACTGTACACAAGCGTGTCTCTCCACAGGTCGTCCTGATCGCCGTCCGGGGGGATCGGCCTCCCGTTTCCGATCTTGCCCTTGAGCTTCCCCTTTGGGAAGCGGAAGTGCCACTCGATCGTCCCCACCGTCTTGAACCCCATCTTGGCCGCGAGCCCCTGGCTGGCCTTGTTGGTCGTGCTGGTGTGCCAGTGCAGGCGGCGCAGCCCGAGCCCGCCCCGCGCGGGAGGCGCCATGCCGTACTGCATCAGCAGGGCGACGGCGCTGCTCGCGACGCCTTTGCCCTGGTACGGCGGCAGGACGGCGACGAAGCCGATCTCGCTGCTCAGGTGCGGCGCCGAGGTGTAGATGTAGCTGATGGAGCCGGCCAGCGCGCCGTCGGGGCTGTCCCGGGACGGCGGGGCCGCGCGGTCGATGACGGCGAACTGGAAGCAGTTCGGGTTGGCGCGGGAGAGGATGGTGTCCGGCCTGGCGAGGAGGGCGTGCAGGTCCGCGGCGGACTCGAGGGGCCCGAGGGGCATGTGGGCGAACATCTCTGGGTGGTCCCTTGCGTGCTCGACGAAGGTGGAGGCGTGGATGTCCGGGTTGAAGGGGATGAGCTTGACGCGGGAGTTGGCGATGGAGGGCCTGATGGGCCAGTAGAAGTTGCATCCTTGCGTTTCCACCATTGTGTATCGTGACTTTCTGTTTGCCGTGATTTGAATGGTGATGCCTTTAGCAATGAGAGAGGTCGGCGTGATCCCAATTGATAGCGCGGCGAATTGAACGGGAACTTGTGATTAATATCTTCAACATCTTACCTCAGTCGGACGGGATGTGAGTCAAACTCGAGCCGGCCAACCAAAACGGCTAGACTGGAATGCGCGCCCATAAGCAGCACCGAGGCGCTCCGGAGATCGGCTCCGGCCGGTCGACTCGGAGCTACGGACGAGGACGTCGGTGATAGTAATCATTCCAGAGAACCTCAGTCATGCATTCATACGAAGTCGTTTTATTTGCCATAGTTATCGGTCATTGGGTCGATTGCGTTAGGTAGTATAGAGTCAATGCCTCGCCAACTCGAGGTTCAAGGTGGGCGGGCCGACTTGGTTGTGACCGGGTCTGCTGGTGCTGGGGATAGACTGTGACTGCTCAGATGTTCATGTCCCCCCTCCCACGAGGCACCAAGAGCATGCGAAGAGAGAAACTTGCAAAAGCTCAACTCACAGTAAAGGCACTGTCCTCGAGGCCGGAACCCTCATTTTCCATTTTCAACCAAGTGCATGCGTCTTGACGGGCACATACGCATTTGTCATACTGCTTCGTATTGACGCCCCGCAATCCGCCCAATTGAACAAAGGCAAACTCTGAATATCGAATGCAAGCGGCCGTCAACAAACCTGTCGATGAACCTCCCCCCTGGACGTTCTGGACTAGCTCTGCCCTGCTAATAAGCTTTTTGCTTTTTGCGAGCACTTTCGCCGGATTTAGTGGGTTCCGGGACCAGGATGGATCAGATCCCAGGAGCCCCCAGCCCCTGCTGCTGGGTGCGTGTCGCGTGGTGAGGCGCGTCTCTCGACCAATTTCGCAGCTGAATGAACTAATCTATTCCAATTTCGCACTCGACAAGGAGGCAGCACTAGTGAGCGCCAATAGCAAACAAACCTGAACTTCTTCGACAGCAACGACACTTGGACGTTGGCAACGCCAGTGCCAGCACACTGGTCAGATCAGTGCCCTGGGAAGTCTGATGACAGTCTTCCCGTGGGAAAGAAAGGGAAAGAAAGAAAAAGAAGAAGGACGAATAAAAGACAAATGGCCCCGGGACAGCAGACTATCGACCTGACGGCGTCGGACACGGAGGCCAGCGCTGACGACCACGACCAGTTTCAGCCCGAGGCGGTCGCCTATTCCAGGTGGAAACTGCAACTCCTCCACCACCTCAGAAGCATCACCTCTGCCGGCGACTTCGCCGTGTCTCGGCAATACCAGACCTTTGTCAACCCGTGTTTGCGCATCGCGGGCTGCAGTGACGTCATTCCCTTGCCTGTCGCCGGCCGCGATGCAGAGACAATCCGGAGCGCCTGCAGGGAAGCGCCGTTTGGCCGGGGAGACGAGACGCTGGTCGACACTTCGGTGCGCAGGACGTGGGAGCTGGATGCTGCCCACTTCGCGTGCACGAATCCGCGGTGGCCGGCCTTCTTGGACAGGCTTCTCGAGGACGTCGCCGGCGGCCTCGGCCTGCCAGACGTCCGCGCCAAGCCGCACAAGCTCCTCCTCTACCAGGAGGGTTCCTTCTTCCGGCGCCACAAGGACTCGGAGAAGGAGTTCGGCATGATTGCCACCCTGGTCGTCTGCCTGCCCGCCGTGCATCAGGGCGGTACGGTCCACCTCTCCTTCGGCTCCGAGAGGCGCGAGATCGCCACGGCCCCGGCGTCGGCCTTTGACATGACGGCCCTGGCCTGGTTCTCCGACGTGGACCACGAGATCAGGCCCCTGACGTCTGGCAACCGGCTGGTTCTCACCTACAAGCTGTTCCAAGCCGGCGGCGGCGGCACGCCGTCCGCCGAGCTCCTCGTGCGGCAGTCGCAGCAGCTGAGGGGCATCCTCGGACAGTGGCCCGCCAGGTTCCCCCACGCGCTGATGCTCGCCTACCCGCTCGACCACCAGTACACGAGGTCGAGCCTGTCGCTGGCGAACCTCAAGGGCCGCGACCGCGCCGTCTGCCAGACCCTCCACGAGGCGAGCGCCGCGTGCGACGTGTACCTCGTCCTGGCGCACATGACGCACTCGAAGCATGATCCGGAGTCGTGGTATGGCGAGGAAGAGGAGGGCGGATCGACAGTCCTGCGCGCCATGTTCACCACGGACGGAGCAGAGATCGCGTCTCACCACGACGTCGACGAGACCGAAATCCTGGGCGGCGACATCTTCCAGAACCGCCACCCGGACAGCGAGGACGAGGGAGAGTTCACGGGCAACGAGAGCGTGCCGAGCTGCTCCCGGTACCACAATACTGTATTATGAAACCCCTCCCCCCCGGACTGTGTGGCGCAGCTAGACATTCCTGGTACTGACAGTTTCCCATCGCAGGTTGCCGTGCTGATTCCGAAACTGCAAATCCACCAATACCTCAGGACGCACGTCTACGGCTGGTCTCCGTCCGCAGAGGCGGAGAACCTCTTCTCCATGGTCGAGCGCGACATGGAGGAGCACCCCGAGAACAGCGTCGTCAGGTCGGGCGCCCTGCGGCTCATGACCAAGGCCCTCGACGCCGGCGCCACGAAGCCGGCGATGCTTTGCAGAGTGGCCAAGTGGGCCCTCGCGGCGAGGCAAGACGAGCTGTACCGGAAGGTCATCAAAGCCGCCATCTCGGGCGGCCCGTTTCCGCCAGAGCTGCTGGATGTCTTGTCTCGGCACTTTGACTGGGAATATGCGAGGGAGCCGAGAGATGTCGATTGGGAGAAATGGTGCGTGTGGACACTTTTCTTTTCCTTCTTTCTTTTGGCTGTGAATACGTTTCTTTTTCTTTTCCTTTCTTTTCCTTCTTTCTTTTGGCTGTGAATACGTTTCTTTTTCTTTTCCTTTCTTTTCCTTTCTTTTTTACTCCCTCTTTCAGCACACCTCGAAATCGGGTGCTAATTTGTCTCCTCCAGGCTTGGGTCCGTGCTGCATGCTCTCTCTCTGTGCGGCTGGCGCTCCCTCGCAAAGCTGCTCGCCACCCGTCTTGAGACCGAAGCTCTGCGAGACTCGTTCAGCCTCTGGGCGCAAGAACAGCTAGAGAAGAAGCTCGACCACCACACCTCCTTCGTAACGCAAGACTTTGATTACTTTCTCGAGAAACTGAGCCAAGCCGACCCTAGCCCCAGGTGAGTAGTCCCGGGCGAGGCGGCGCCTCGAGGTCGCCCACGCTCAAACACACCTTTCTTCTGGCTGACACGTGTCTTGTCTCTGTAGGATCCTGTCCGCTTTTGCCGAGCGCGGCAAGCGCGAGCTCATCCTCAAGGTCCTGGAGACGCTCAGCCAGCGACGAGCACCCGAGGCCGTCAAGGGCATCTTCGAGGCCACGCTCGACAAGGCCCGCCCGAGACTGGTGCTGCAGACGGGCGACTTCTACACTCCCGCCGCCCCCTGGGCTCACCACATGCAGGGAGCCGACAAGTCGCGGGAGCCCTGCCAGCAGTTCACGAACCTCGTCAGGCAGAGCCTCAGGGTCGGCGCCTCGGACCAGGCGGTCCGGCTGATAGAGGAGACGTATAGACACCTGGACGCCGCCGCGAGGACCTCGTGGAACCGGTCCGGGATCGACGGGCCGAGCCTGGTCAAGGACCTGCTCGTGCCCCTGGCGGCGGCGCTGCAGCAGTCCCGCGGCGAGGCGGCGCCCACGGACGGCGTGGCGGGCTTCTTCGCGCTCCTGATCCGCGACGTGCTGCACTACAACAACAAGGTCGGGCCGTACCCGCAGAAGCTGCCCGGGTGGCGCCACCGGCCGCGCGGGTGCGCCGGGGCGTGCGCGGACTGCGACGCGCTCCGGGCCTTCCTGTACAGGGAGGACCAGAGGACGTGGGTGCTGGCGGCGGGCGCGCAGCGGCGCGCGCACGTGGAGAGCCAGCTGCCGGCGTCGGTCTTTTCCACGCAGACGCAGGCGCAGGCGCAGGCGCAGACGCAGACGGGCAGCCGCGGCCGCGCCCCCGGCCTCGCCCTCGTCGTCGAGAAGCGCGGCACGGAGCACGCGGAGGAGGTGGCCGAGTTCGCGGCGGCGCTCGCGAGGCTCGAGGGCGTGCTCGCGCCGCTGCGGGGCGGGTTCCTGGCGGGCCTGCTGGGCGACCGGGCGTACCGCGCGCTGGTCCTGCTCGAGGGCTACCGGGAGCAGGTCCCCGAGGGGAGCCTGCCGTGGAGGAAGAGGCCGTCCGACACCCCGCTCGCCGGAGACACGGTTCGGCAACGGTGGTGAAGTCCAGGGGGTTTCGACGTAGGTGCGCGCGACTCGACGGGCTCTCTGGGAGGCTGGCTGGTTGCGGGAGCTTCCTTCAGCAACAGATTGTCGTCCCTGTAGGGTAGCAAAAAGAACAGTTTTCCGGCTGGCAGTATGTGTTATTTGTCGAGTAAAAAGTTGTGGTCGGTTTGGAGTTGGTCGAAGCCCAATCTGCAATTTTGATTATTAGAGTATTACAGTGCAGGGTATTTTCTTTTCCAAATTCAGCGTCTCCCTGACAACAGCAGCCAGGGAGTGTGGTTGGGAAACAGCAGCAAGTGTATTTATTGATTGAGAGGTCGAACTGGGAAGCTTACGGATACTATGCGATTCAATGCCAGCAGCAATCCGGGTCTGGGTACAAGTAGGAACAATGCAGGCGGCGTCGTGTTCAATTCCGCTGCCGCCCGGGGGGGGGGGGGGGGGGGGGGGGTAGGGGGGGGGGGGAGGGGGGGTGAGAATCCATCTCGCAGCTTTCATTTCCCTGGTTACTTGAATTGATTGAATTGAAGCCGAAACCAACAGGATCCTCCTGCATGCGCCGCCCGTCGGCTCCTCGAGAGGACAGAGAGGAGGAGCGCAGGGACTCCAAGATCGGTCGGATCGGAGGCGGATGCCAGTCAAGGAGGCTTGCAGTAAAGGTAGGTAGGTGGCCAGGAGCTACATCGCCTCTCAATATTAGTGCGAGCACTGTGCGGGCGGATACCGTGCAGGTTCAATAGAGTACCAAGGAGTCACCGACTCGTCAATCAAAACTCGAGGCCCTCCGCCATCCTTGCGCCCCGGTCGCACACTCGCGGGATCGCCGTCTTGTCACTGATCGCCTCCGATTGGTCGCGAAACAGAAGCTCTGGCCCAATCGTCCAGAATTCAACAAGTTTCAGCTCCACCAACCGCCGCCGCCCCCAGCCCAGCCCTTTCAAAATTCCGGCGGCGCCCCTCCTCCACCTCCATCTTCTCTCGACTCGAGCCCGCCTCCCTCCGGGGCATGACGACGCGTGCAAGTCCATTCTTCTCGCCCTCACCTCCCTTTCGTCGATGCTGTCTCAGCACCAAGAATGCCGAGAGACGTGAGTGACCCGTCCCCTTGCTTCCTTGCTTGCCCGCGTTCCTCCCTCGTCGCCCCAGCGCGACGCCCGTGTTCTCGTCCCCATATCCTCTTTTCTCTCTCTCTCTCTCTCTCTCTCTCTCTCTCTCTCTGCATCACCGTCCGTCATGATAGGGTAGTATTACCTCGCCTCGCTGACACTCGAGTCCCGCTCGGGACGCACCCCGAGCAAAGGCGAAAGACCTGCTCGCCCGGAACCGCGACCGGCAGCGGGAGTCGCGCGCCCGGCAGCGCCGGCTCATAGACGACATGCGCCAGCGGCTCGACGAGTACGAGCGCGGCGGCATGGCCGCCACCCTCGAGATGCAGCGCGCCGCCCGCTCCGTCGCCTTGGAGAACCGGTGCCTGCGCGCCATGCTCGCCCGCCGCGGCGTCTCCTCCGCCGAGATCGACGCCTTCCTGAGGGCCGGCGCTCCGCCGCCGCCGCCGCCGTCCCCGCCGCCGGACAGGGCCTACGTCCCCTCGCCGCCGAGGCCTGCGTATCCGTACCCCAGGGCGGCGGCCCAGCACCCCGCGCCCGTGGCGGCACCCGCCACGAGGGCCAGGCAGCAGCAGCAGCCTCCTCCTCGCGACAGGCCCGTCGGCGCCAGGGAGGCGCCGCCGTCCTCCCGGGCCCCGAGGCTGAGGCCCAGACCCCAAGACCCTCGCCCCTCCCGCGCCTCCCCGTCCGAGCTCGAGGAGACGCCGTGCGACGCCGCGGCCGAGATCATCTCTGGCATCTACGGCCGCGGCCAGGCGCACGCCGCCGAGGCGCTCGTCTCTCTGGGCTGCACCCAGGCGCCCGACTGTCGGGTCAAGATCTCGAGCCTCTATCAGCTGCTCGACAACACGGGATGACGCCCCGGCTCCACCTCGCACGGCGCGGAACAGTGAGATGAATTGGCCTTCTCCGGACCTGGGTTGGCCTGCGCCTCGGCCAGGACTACGCGTTCGCGCCACTTTTGAATGGGCCCGGCGAGTACATGCACGGCGCGCCTCGAACTTTGCCAGCCTTCTCGGCAGCTTTTTCCAACCCCTCGGCATGAGGATCTGGTTGCGACTGGGCGGAAGAGTCGCGTCTCTGGAGGGATGTTGGACAGGGTCGCACTCGGTTTATGGGCCGCGTGATAACGACAAGGAATTGGAGCTTTTATGACATGACGATCTAGCGAGGCAGGAGAGGGACTTTTCGGGGGAGATAGAGTTGTCACATGAGGCTGATAGCTGAGGGGACTCCGCGTGAACGGCTCGTCGCTCTCTGTCTGTCAACTCTCTCCTATATAACGAACTATGATATCACTGAGACCAATGAAATTGGAACGGCATTGGCATTGCTATTGCTATTGCTATAACATAACTCATCTACGACCCTCGAGAGTATTTTCTAGTGTGGTCACAGAGCCAGTGACAGAACAACAACGATGAATGCTCCACCTGCAACCCTTGCAACTTCAAGTACATGTAAAGCTCGGCAGTTCAGCACGACTGCCGGCTCGTTCCGTGTCGAGGTCGCTCTCAAAGAGGGTCCCGCGAAGGTCCGAGTGGGGTCCGTCCAGCGATTCAGGAGTTGGCACTTTGGACTGGAGAGACGTTTGCCGTGCCGACTGCGAAAGCATCAAGCAGCCGTGCCCGAGCTCGTGCCTCGGGCGAAGCGAGAGCTGGGAGCGTGTCGGGGCGCCGGGCGCTCGGCTTTTCCCTCTATCCTGCGGCTGCTGATCAGAGGAGCCGCGGATGTGATCGACGCCCCAAAGAAAAGGCGTTTCTGGTCTGACGCATCGCCGTGGTCTCTGCGGCCCTCCCTCGTCATGAAAACTCGCGCGCGCGGACGTCCGGACGAGTTGACTCTCCCCGGGGAGGGGGCACGGGCTGAGCAATAGTCGGGCTTGCTTCAAGGCCTTGCGGCCGGAAGAGGGAGGGTGGTTGATCGATCCACGATCGCAATTGCGACTCTCCGGCCCTCTCCGACTGCAGAGCGGATTCGCTCGTAGGTAGCAGGCATGCCGAGAACCAACTTAACTGGACAGACTGTCTTCGCTGTCACTGGGGTCTTCCAGCTCAAACCACTCGGGCATGACATTGTCATGGATCAGCTGGACCCATGGTGCAAGTGGTGGGCATGTATCGACGGTCTGGCCCGGCCGGCCCCAAAGATTCCACCAATCCCTCAAGCTCCAGTCCCGATGTTCGTCCACGATGGCTTGCACATCCACTGGCCCTCCGGGGTCGAAGTTGCACTGGACGACCGAGTCGGGCTTGCCGATCCTCTCAACCCACTCAGGGAATCCCTCAAAGTTGAAGCTTCGGTTTCGCTGCCGAAGGGCAATGATGTCTTTGATATCCATCCCCTCCCAATCGAAGCTTCGCTCAAAGGCAGTCTGCCATGCCGCGTCCCTTTGGACAACGTCCTGGAAAATCCGCGCGGTGTGCTCGGGCACGGGACCCCCATCTAGCACAAGCCGGAAGGTGCGGTTGAAGGCCTGAAGCGTGGAAGCTTCCGCCATCCATTCAGCCACATTGTAGGTGATGTAGTCGACCGGCAGCTTGCTCTCTTTATCTACCAAAATGTTTAGGTGGCGGTCGAACTCGGTAGCCAATAGTGAACCCAGTTTGTCCTTTTGGAACACACACTGCCACAGACTCGCCACGCGTTCAATCTAGGTCAAAGGGTGGTCACGCCTTAGCATCCCAGGCATTCTGAAATGGAGGTCAAGATTCCACACCACTTACCTGTAAGCGTGGATTCTCCTCCAGATATGGGACAAATCCCTTAGCATGACACTCGGGAAACGCCACCGACTTGCGGTCTTCGTTCACAACAAGTTTGCGAAGATGGCGCCTGGTATCAGGATGTGAGCAGCGCAGGAAGTGTATCGCTGCCGCCGCTGCCGAGAAGCGAGATCTGCCGTAGTAATGGTCTTTGATAGTAAAATACCTTGTTTTTAGTGATTTAGCGGACTGGGTGGCCACGCCCTGGATCATCGCATTCAGTTCGTCTTCAGTTGGTATCATCCAGGGATCGGGGCAGGAGGAGACTGAACGGGCGATGCGCTCTGGATGCTGGAAGAACTTGGAGCGCTGCTCTTTCTGAATGGCGCTCGGCATGTCTACAGCGTGTCTGAAGACAAACCTGACTCCTTCCCAAAACGTGGACGGGATCTAGCGACAGCATCAGCACATTGTCCAAATCGAAGCGACCGATCGACCTTGGCCCCATCGTATCATGATCAAATACCTGTCCACAAGATTGCTTGAATGACTTCAATCCGGCTTCCAGCGGAGGATAGTCGCTGTTCAAGTATGAGGCCGTCCAGAACGCGTCCGCTCGGCCCATTTGCATGTAGAGTTCTACCAACTTTTCGACCTCGGGATATTGACGTATTGCCTCCTCAAGCCTTTCCTCGTTGACTAAAGGACTTGGCCTAGGGCCGAGGTTGGACAGTAGCAGGTAGTGACCCTTGTAGAGCTCGCAGAGGATATGGTTGAAACGCTCGGCCCTCGCGCGGAGGCTCTCGTCTTCAGACAATGTCGTGAAGGTGACAGAGTTCAGTTGGAGCGCAAGGCCGTTGGTCTCGTGAGCAATTTGTCGGCACGCATACCGTAGGGACAAGTGGACAGGCTCCCCGTCGGCCCTGCGGAGCTTGCCGGAAGAGAAGTCGGAGACGTAGCCACCAGGAGCAGAGAAGTAGGCGGCATAGATGAGATCGCGTACCTCCCGTGGCAGGAGGAGGAAGCGAGACTCTGGAGCCATGTCGCGAGTGTCTCGGGTTGAACGGGAGAGATGAAGGTGAGGGTTGAACGAGTCAGGTCGTCCGCAGTGCACGCGCGCGTGGGGAGTTCGATTGAGGACAGGACAAGGATCATAGGCTCAAGAGCGCTTGCTTGATCGGGGATGAAATGAAACAGAGGGCCAGGTTTGGGGCCGGCTCGGCCTTAAGAGGAAAAGCACGGGGCGGTGGACGGGGTGCGGCGAACATGGCCGGAGGCACAGATTTGCGTGAGTCATCTCAAGAAAACCACTCAGGTCCCAATGGTGGTTGGCCAATTCCGGAGGCACCCCAGGACACCCCACCAAACCAGACTTTGCGACCTCCGGGGTAATAGTCACACCGATTCGTCCTCCCCATCAGAGGGTTCCTTTCTTTATTTTTATTATCTTTATAGAGGTTAATATTAAATAAATATCTTAAAGTTCTATATCTTAAATAATCTATTTAAGATAGATATATTAATTAAGATAGATAGCTCTATTCTATCTATTATAGTAAATAGATATACTAAGATAGTAATTATACTTCTTTAGATCTAATATTTTAAATATCTAGCTTAGAGCTTATTTAATCTTATTAATCTTCTTAATAAAGAGTCTAATAATAAGTAGGTTATTAATATAGATAGTAATATAGATATATTCTTTTATAAAGATATTTAAGTTAGTATCTAAGGGGGTAAAGCCTCTCTTCTTAAGAAAGATTATAAGGGTTTAGTACTAGATATAGAGAGACTACTTTAATCTATAAAGTGCTTTATTAAGCTTATAGATAAGGTTTAGATTAATATCTAGAATATTAGATAGTTATTTAATATAGATTTCTTTATCTATTTTTCTATAGAGAAAGGCAGTCTTAATATCTATTTAGTAGAGTTTAAGGTTAAGAGTTATAGTAATTATAAAGATTATCTTATAGCTTATTAATTTAACTATTAAAGTAAAGGTTTTATTATAATCTATATCTTTCTTTTATTTAAAATCTTAGATAACCTAGCAGGCTTTATATCTAGAGATCTATTTATTTATATCTTACTTAAGCTTATAGATCTATTTTCTAGTAAGTATCTTCTATCTCTTAGAATAGGATATTAGTTTCTAGATATTATTAGTAATAAGTAACTACTATTTATTAACTATAGCTTCTAACTAGTTATAATTCTAGAGAGAACTCTATAGCTTATTTTAGTATCTTTAATTTAATAGCTTTATTAGTATATAGGATTACTTCTATATAGGTATAGATACTTATAAAGTAGAGATTAGATACTTCTTTATTAGAGAGCTTAGAGATATTAAAGATAAACTATAATAAAGATCTATATATTCTAGTTAGTTAGGTTTAGATTAGAATCTATAGCTTTTAATATTAGATAATAGATTCTTAGAATATCTTATATATATTAATAATAATATAGTTAGATAGTACTTTATCTATATATAATAGCTTATCTATATAAGATAATTCTAATTCTCTTACTAGCTTAATAAATAGATATTTAAAGAGGTCTAGTAGTAGGTCTATAGGTAGGGTCTCTTTAGAATAGTTGTTTAGAATAGGCTGTAATACTTATATTATACTTATATTAGGTAAAGGTTGAGTCTTTAGTAGAGTAGCTTTTATAGCTCTTACTAGAATCTTATTAAAGATAATATTATTAGTAATAATAATCTTATTATTCTTAGTTAGAATAATATAATTATAGTAGCTTAAGTAGGTAAGAAGCTAGTAGTAATAGCCTAGAGTACTAATAATCTTTCTAGTCTTCTATTATTCTTACTTTAGAATTAGGTACTAGCTCTTAGATCTAATTATTTATAGATAGTTAATATCTAGAGGATTATTATATCAGGCTTTATAGGTAGTAATATTAGTATATTTACTAGAAATAAGGTGTGACGATCCTTGATCCCAAGAGGCAAGACTACTTCGTAGGATCGGAAGCGTGTGGGTTTATGTAAGCAGTAAGTGATGGGCGCTGCTGAGCAATGGTGGTTGACTTGATCGTAGCTAAGATAGC